CTCGGCCTTTTGTATGTAGACGATGTGCTAGATGCTTTATTGGTGCGAGCCTACCCCTGCTTCTCATCTGTTGGCACCAAGATAATTAATGCCATTTGCAAATTCTCCAGGCTGCACAGAACACCCAGATAGATGACTGCTTCTATATTTTCTTTTGTAGCAAGCACGGCCTCTCCCTCCCCAGACTCTTAGAATCTGGTCCACGAAACAGGAGCTCCTGTTTTCTCCCCAAACCTTTCCATCCGCTTTATGTTTGGCAACTGACACTGTCTTCTTTTGGGTATCATTTAGATTTTCCCATCTCAAAATGATTCCTGTACAAATCCTGCTACAAAATGTGGCATCTGAATACCCCTCCTGTCTCCTGGTGCCAGCTGTATGTTCTAAATCAAAGAGAGAACCCACATTCTAGAAAGCACAAGGAAGCACCAAAAATAAGATCCTGGGGGAGGCAAAGTCGAAAATGTAGCATTTAAAGAGCTCATCTGCTGGAGTGCTTTCGACAGCCAAATTCTGGCCTGCGGGGAGCTCGCCTGTCCTGTCAGGCACAGACAAAAGGCGCAGGTGTGGGAGGGCCAGAAGGGTGTTGCCCATCCCTGGGCATCAGGGAAAGGAGCGAGCTTCCAGCCCAGTGTGAACACTGGACGAGTAGCTGTTTCTTGTTTGCTAATGTCAAAAGCACCGTTCCTGCCTTGAGCCTGAATCACGGGAATCCTGGGCTCCTCGTGCGGTGGGGAGTGCTTCGTAGGCCCACTCCATGAGACGCTCCTAGTCTAACAGAAGCGAAGGGTTTAGCAAACGCCTACCACCACAGCCCAGGAGGTGCCAGTGAGAGCGGGGACCTGGGAACTCTCCTTTCAGCAAAGCCAGGTTTCTTCCCTGTTACATTAGGGTATGTCGCAGAGAAAACAGCAGCAGCTTTCTGGAGGAGGCCCAGTGTTATGACCAGTTCCCCTCCCCTCCCAGCCAGGGAGGCTAGGCAGCGTGACAAACCGCTGACAGCGTGCTCGCTTCTGCTCAAAACATGGTCCCTGTACCGGTGGTGCGGGCATCACCAGGAGCTTGTTAAAAATTTACAGGCTCAGCAGCCTCCCAGAAAGACTGACCCAGAATCTGCATTTTAACGAGATCCCGAGGTGCTGTTTGCCTGGAAGTTTCTGAAGACGGCGCTGGTACCCACGGCCCCCACGGTGCAGAGCCGAATTTTCTTTCTCAACTCCACCACTGATAGACACTTGGGCCAGATCCCTTAACTGTTTTTCAAGCATCAGCTTTATCTTTTTATTTCTCATGCATCCATAAAATGAAAATAGGCCTTCATCTTCCTTAGCAAAGCATCTGTGAGACTGGACGGGATGGATCAGAAAGTTCCTTATGTGGTGAAGGAATTAAAGTTCTTCCATTTTATATGAAAGTCTAAAACACACTTGAGAGGAAGGACGATTTCTTGGTACCCTGGACTGACAGCCTTCCTTTATTTTGCTTCAGAAGATGAGGGAAATAGAAATGAATTCAGCTTCTCTTTCTGAGGGGAGAGAGGCCAGATTTATTTATTCATGCGTACAGAACTGGGGTACAGGCCAGAGGAGCAGGGGTGGTGAGAGGATTCCCCAGAGACAGAGTGGGGAGCAGGACAGGCCGACTGATGAAGTACACTGCTGAGGGGAGCAGAGGGGGGGTCAGGAGAGGTCTGCCGTGCCATGTGGGTCACCTCTGGGGTGCGGATTGAACTTCGTGAATGTGTTTAAGTGTGAATGAAGGGAAATAACTGTGTGTGGAAGGGGGAGAACTTCTGACATCTTTAACATAAAGGGAACATACATCCATGCAAATGCATGAAATGAGATGAAGATCACCCAAACAGGAAGTCCTGATTGTTTTTCACTAAGGCAACACACTTTATATCATGTGATGCTGAGATTCTGAAGTGATTTTCATCTTTACCAATTTAAATACGTGTTGAATTAAAGGTGTGACCTTAATATGATCATTTCACACTGACAGAATGGCAAACTGATATATTGGTCAAAAGATTAGTTTGACTTTCTAGCATAATCTTTAGTAGCACAGCTGGGTAGCTTGATAAACACAGCAATTTATAGAAACCATGCTGTCTATGACCCAGTCCCAGCCAGCCTCATCTACTTCCTGTCTCAATGGATTTGCCTTTTCTGGACGTTTCATATTAAAGAACTGAAGTGCCATGTCACCTTTTATGTCTAGCATATCCAGTTAGCTCAGCGTTTTCAAGGCTCATCCATGTTTTCGTATGTATCAGTGCTTCATCTCTTTTAATTAATGAATGATATTCCATACTTTGCATGGCTACTTTTTTTTCATCCGATCACCTGTCAAGTATTTAGGTTGTTCCCCAACTTTTGTCTATTATGAATAGTATTGCTATGAGCATTCATGTACTTTTAAAATTATCTATCTATCTGTATCTGTATATGTATGTATACATATACATCTATATTATTAATTCTTTCAAATATATAGATAGAAATAAAATTGTTTATGTAATTCTTATGGGTAGCATTTTGACTATCAAACTGTTTTCTGAAATGAGAGATCTGTTTTATATTACTACCTGCAATATATACGGGTTCCATTTTCTCACCATTCTTGTTTACACTTATTATTGTCTGTATTTTTAAATTTTAGTCATCCTGGTGAATTTGCAGTAGTATCTTATTGTGATTCTGAATTGCATTCTTCTAATGACTAATGCTGTTGAGCATCTCTTCATGAGATTATTGACAAAACAAACTTTTGGTCTCTGTACATAAGTTGAGTAAAAAAAAAAAAAAAAGAAATACAAAAAAGTCTAACTGTGTCCAAAAGAAACTTTTTTGGTAGCGAACAAAGAGGTTATGGACCAATAATTTAATTAAGACTGTTGTTACGTTAGCCCAATACCTTTGTTCTGAACTTTCTGAAAGTGTTCTGGGGATACTGTGATGATTTTCTTGGGGGTGTGTGGGAGAAAACTGATTAATGCTTAAAGATTTTTTAATCTTGGGCCCTCCATGGTGGCACAGAGGGGTAAAAGACAGTGCTGTGAACCTATCTGCAGCCACTGTAGCATGAGTTCAATCCCTAGCTGGGGAGGTGATTCACATGGTTCCTCACTCTGTCTCTGGTGAATCCACTCACCTCCCTGCACCTCTGTCCTTGTGTGCATACATAAATAAATCTTAAAAAAATCTAATACTAGAAGTATAAAGTAAGTTTAGTCTACTTAACTTGGATAATTCTAGGTTACTGTTGTGGTCTTTCTCTCCATGTTCGAGTGGTTCCTCTTTCGGTTCTTCCCAATACCCTATTTTCTGATTCTCTGTCAAACTTGTTTTTGTGACAGGAAGTGGGATTTGTAGAAACTAAGTAGTATTTGTTCACAAAAGAAATCTCATTGTGCATTTTCCCCAAGTTTATTTTCAGGGGACTGAAATTCTTTAGTGAGAAATGAAAGCAACATCTAGATATGAGTTTGTTTTGAGTAACTTCCTATGTCTATGACTGAAAATCCAGGCAATGTATTGGCTCCCATAAACAGAAAGGATGCCAGTGGTATCAAAACCCTCCTCCAGTTACATCCCATAGATTGACTCCATTTTTACGACTATTGGAATCCTCCAGGTCACATCATTCTGCCATAGTTAGGAAAAAAGAAGTTGCTTCCCTTGTGCCTCATAGCAAGGTCTTGGAACTAAATTGCCCTGGACCCATTGGTCTGATCCAAGACACAGGTTTATCCATTAATTAGTGACTGTGGGCCCCATAGTGGGTATGCGACTGATTCAGCCAAGCATGTGTGATCCCTTCTGGATGCTGGATGAAATCATGTCACTGGAAGCTTTTGGGTTAGGTCTGCAAGGCGTGATTTAGAAGAGGACTCGAGGTGTGTGGCAGCCAGAGAGAGGATCATTATTGGCTTAAGGCCACGGGCCAGAGACAGGTTCCTTCTTTCAAAGGGCAGTTGTAGGAAGAACATCTGGGGGAATGGTTCTGAAGCTTTAGGGTGTGCATGAGTTTGATGGGGTTGCACTGTTGTGTTTTAGAAACAAAGGACTTGTTTGGTTTTAGAAGTTCACAGACTGGAGAGAAATTTTGCCTCAAGATGACTCATTCCCTGAATCTCATGAACACCTGACTTATATGATAAGAGTTTGAACTTAAAGAGTTGATGTTGGAATGGGCTAACAACTTTGGAGATGCCAGGATGGGGCAAATGTATTTTTTTATGTAAAAGGATGTGAATTTGGGGGAACTGTTATAAGTTCTGTTGTGTCCCTCAAAAACTCCTGTGATAAAGTCTTAACCCTCATCACTTCAGACTGTGGCCTTAATAGGAAATGGACTTGCAGGTTGGTTGGTAGGGTGAGCTCCAAGTCCAGTGACTGGTTTGCTTATCAGAGGGAAATTTGGTCACACAGGGATAACACCCTGTGAAGAGTAGAGTTGTGCTGTCACAAGCCAAGGAACAGGCAGAAACTGGAAGCTACTCCTGAAACACAGCCTCCCCTTCTGCCTCTGAAGTAAACATGACCCTGTTATAGTAAAGTACCACCAGCTGGGTGGCTGGAACAACAAACATGTCTTGTTTCACACTTCTGGATGCTAGAATCTGAGACCAAGGTGTTGGCCTTGTTATAGAGCCACAGTGTCTACTGTTCTAACTTTTATTTTTTTTTAAGACTTATTTACTTATGCATACAAGAACTGGGGTGTAGGCTGAAGGTGCAAGGGTGAGAGGATTCACCGGAGACTGAGTGTGGAGCAAAACAGGCAGATTTATTGAAATCCACTGCTGAGGGGAGCAGCAAGTGAGACAGGAGAGGTCTGCTGCGCCGTGTGGGTCACCTCCCTGGCCTGGGATTGAACTCATACTATAGTGGCTGGCAGTAGCTTGATAGTGCTGAGACATTTTAATCTCTGCACCACCAGTGTTCTCTCCTTGATTTTAATTGAGTCTGTTATTGCTCTTTTTATTTTTATAGAAGAAACCAAAGTACCTGAAGATGATGAAATGGAAAAGCTCTACAAATCATTAGAACAAGCTAGTCTATCTCCTCTTGGTGACCGACGACCTTCAACCAAAAAGGAGTTGAGAAAATCCTTCGTTAAGCGGTGCAAAAATCCATCCATAAATGAGAAACTCCACAAAATCCGGACTTTGAATAGCACTTTGAAGGTAAAACATTTCAGATGGGGCATGAAGTCTGTGGGAGTGAGAAGAGGATTTGATTCTGCAAAAAGATTCATGCTGACCACAGCACACAAGTGTGGGTAGAGGAGGGAGCAGAAAATGCAAGTATAATCTCTGCAGGTTGAGGTGACTCTGGACAGCGTAAACCATGGGACATTCCCAGAGTAGCACCCAACAGTTTTTTACAAGAGACCATGGTTTTTACATTCATTTGGTAGAAAATGTCAAATGTTAAGCTCCCAGGAGGCAAGGACCACTTGTAATTTTTCCTTTTCCTCAGTACTGATGGGCACAGTTATATTTGTGAGATCTTGGATTTTACCCCATTGATTACAGGGTTATTCTTCTGTACTACTTTCAGAAGAACATTTTTAGCTTCACCTATAGCAACAACTAAGTGACTCTCGGCAGTAGGTTCTAGAGCCAAGAAACACCAGGAAAGCTGGGAGATACACACTTGAAGATAATAGACCAGCAGATGTTTTCACAATGGGAAGGAGAGACAGTGTACAGGATGTACCGAAGTAATTTTCGGGGCCTTCTGTAACAACAACAAAAAAAATGGTCCTTTCTGTCAAAAGCATTCTACTTTGACATTGAGATGATGGCATAAATGGGGGGAGATAGGACTCTTTTGTAAAAGTCCTGACTTTGCAGGAGATTTATTCTGAACAGCCTTCATAGATCCTGCAATTTAACTCTGTTTTGTGAGTATCTTTTTGGATTAAGAATGTGTGTCTTTTGACAAGAAGAAACATCAGACAAGGTTACAGATATAGCTGAGATCTTCCGTCAAATGGCCCAGGTAGTCAACAGAAGTGTATGTCTTCAAAAAGACTGCAAAAAATGAGGCTGAAAAATGAAAGGCAGGGGTGAAGTGAAATTGTACAAAGGAAAAATTCTAGTGCAGAGAAACTCCCCAATAGTCAGTAATGAAGAAAATCACTGGCACTTATTTCAAAGGTAAATATATTAAATTCCACAGTTTATACAGAGTTGATGTTGGTCCTGCACTGTAATATCTCATACATTTATTGTTTTGTTTATGATAATTGAGAGTGAGCACATTTTTTTCATTGCAAAAGTATTTCCTGATTCTTACAATGTACCAGGCACTATTCTCGGCCACAGGGTCATTGAATGGACCCCAGTGGACAATGGAAACAAGTGGAAAATAGAATACAATGGAGTAAGCATTGGAATTGCTTCCGTAGTCACTGTCTATGCAGTCACTGTCTTGGAGAAGCAGACACACGAGCAGGAGATGAAGGTCAAGAGGAGACAGGAATTCATGATGGAGGAACTGGCGTAGGGAAACTCTTATCAGTGGTGACATGATGCATCATGTTGGAAGAAGCAGCTGAGAAGAGCATGGGCAGCTGAGGCTCTTTCTAGATGGAGAAAGACCAGGATCTCTGCTTCCATAGGGCAGCAACCTCAGGATTAGGGGTTTCACTGGACCATGCATGTCCTAGCCACAGGGAACCTGGTTTTGCAAATTACGAAGGGATTTTTTGGCCCGCAGGTGATGCCTGAACCTCCTTTGGCCCATGGGATGATTGGAATCTGTGGCTTTTTCTGTGATCTCTGCAGGCTAGTTGTCTATGGAAAGTTCACAAAGCACCTGCAGAGTCGTGACTCCACACGCTGCTTTTTTCAGTGTCTGTGGGCTGGGAATCTGGACATCCTCAGGTGTCCCTGGCAGCTCCATCACAGGGCTGCAGCCCTGGCTGAGCTTCCCGCTCTCATTGGGCTCTTGGCGGCATTTGGTTCCTCGCCAGTATTTGGTTGGAGGGGCTGTTGTCTGTTGTCTTCTGCGGGAAGCTGTTCCCAGCTTCTCTTCCTAGGGCAGCACCCATGTGGAAACTGACTTTTCTCATACAGGGAGAATGAGAAGAGGGTCCTAGCTATCTGAGTGGTGGCATCACAGTGAGTCTTGTTGAATCGCATTGTGATTCCAGTGGAAGCAGGTCTCTGGTTCAGCCACTGTTTACAGAGGGGCATGACACCCAGATCCAGGGGAGCAGGGAGAAGTACCCTCTCTCCTGGGAATTCCTTTTGGCAGATCTCCAAAGCTTCCCAAATGGGAAGAAGAATTTGAGGTCCATGGACTATAACCCATGTGATGTGGGCCTTCCTCATCGGAAGGGAGGAAGTCAGGAGGGTGTGGAACTGGGCCTAATTGGGATCATTAAGTATATCAGCCGATTCATTGGAGGAAACTTGGTCTGTGTATGTTTGCTCACGTCAAAGGCTATGAGAATTATTTTATCTGTTGAATGGCTTTAACTTAATTCTGTTTGAAACTCAAAAAACAGTCAGGACAGCGGTTGCCTTTGGTGGGGAGGATGTGGCTGGACAGAAACACAGCTTTTGGGGTGCTAGGAGAGGGTCATTTTTGACCTCAATGGGGACGGCACAGATGTGTTAATTTTCTGAAACTTCATCAGACACAAACTTTACTATTTGTGGCATTTTCCTCTGGATGTGACACTGTAATGTACATACTCGATTTATTGAAAAAAAAAAAACACTTTAAAGTGAGAGGGTGGATAAATAGAGACAACAGTTTAATGCAGAAACAAGGAACTGCTCTAACTATTATGTTGTTATTTGTGATACACATTGTACAAGTAAGGAAAAATCCCTCTGCTCGGGTTGTCTTAGAACAAATGCTTTATGGAAATACTAGGAAGTGGAGTGATTTATGAAGTTGAGTGCACTAAACGTGGATTGTTGGGGATTTTGGGTGGCTCAACATCTACTGGCCTTTGGCTAAGCTTATCCTGATTTTAAAATTGATGAGTAATGGGTCTCACTGAAACTTTCCAGCTTACGCTGGCTCATGACAGGGGGTTCTCCTTGTCCACTAACTGCTCAATGGGATACATTCCCCAGGCTTAGTCTTGAGTCATACCGTGCTCTGAGCATTTGGAGTGGTAAGTGAAAGCACAGCTTCTCTCCTTGATAGTGTATTTTGGAACCCACCAGGAAATCAGGAGGATGGGGTCAAGGCCATTTCCAAAGCCTTAGGAGCCTTCTGCACTGCAGGGAGCAGCTGAGCCCAGTGGCCTGAAGCTACTGACCCATGGGGGCCCCTCCTTCAGGAAGGAGCTCAGGGGCTTGTTGTTTCATTAGTTTCTTCCCAACTGTTTTCATCCAGTTGTTGTGGTTTAATCCAAGAAAGATCTAACAGACTTGAGCTTAAATATAAGAAATTTGAAATGTTTCAAGCTAAAACCATCACCCAACATTAAAGGACCCTCCTTGAAAACCTTTTTTTCAGGTTCAGAAGTGATTATTTTCACCTTTAAAAAAATCACTTTTCCAAATTATATCCACCTGAAAAGATCTTATGAGTTTTCCCAGTAAATTATTAACTCTCCCTCTGAAGCAGATGTACCAATGTATAAGGAGAAAGTACAACTCCTTAGTGAGCTCATGTGAATAGCTTAGTGACATCCTGTGGTGATGTTAGTGGAGGAGGCTTGCTATTTCCTAACAAGGAAAGATGATTTGTGAAACCTCCATGTCGCAGTCAGAGAAGAGAGAGCAGGCTCTCCCAGCCTGGCCAGCCACTCTCCAGTCACCCACTCATCTCCTGCCTCTGTTTCTGGCTTCTGGTCAACCTGCTTTTTACCCCTCTTCAGTTATAAAAGAGCATGACCACTGTGCACCCAGGGGCCCCCAAATTGGCACATTTTAAAGGGATGCAGCCATCCGTGCTCACAAAGACAAAGCAGACTCAGTGTGAGAGACCTTTAATGGAATTAGTGTGCACAGAGAGGCCATTCCTGATAAAGTTGCTCGATAAAGCTATTATTTTAGATGCTGTTCAAAAGGAAATTGCATAACTGATTATTGGATTGAACAACACTGAGGGCCTTAACAAGAGCAGTTGAGGTGGACAGCAGGGGACCCTGAGGGATAAGGCCTACACAGAGTGGGCACAGGGTCGTAGGGGGAAGGAGAGGCAAGAGCTGGAACAGCAAAGTGGGGTCAAGAGAAGACTTTGGCAGTGGGAGAAATAGGGTGTGCACAGAGCCAGTGAAGATGAGCAGGTGGAGATGGAGTTGGGAAGGAGGATTGCTGGATCGAAATCTCTAGTAGAAAAGAGAAAGTGGTGGTCACCCATGGAAAGAACTCAGCTATTTGAATCCCAGGGGTGATGATGTCACATGTTCGTGCTGATGCCAGCAGTGGGCAGTAGGAACTTGGGAGAAGTGTTCTTCTCATTGTTTCCATTTCTGCAGAAAAACAGAAAGCCCTGCTGTGAGTGAGGATGGGGAGGAATCTTGAGAAAAGATGAGGCATTTGAGATAAGTCATTTGAGGAAAAATGGATGTAAAATAGGATGACAAAGAGGAGCAGAATCCACTACTGCAGTGGGCATAACTGCAGAAGCGGGCACAGAGCTCAACTTAGCCACACACATGCCATGCTAGGGGTGTGGCAGAGAGTTGCTTCAGTAGCCAACATGTTCTGAGTCTCCCCAGCCGTCGGTACTGTGCCAGGTGCCAGCCCAATGGAGTTATTTCAGAATGTGGGTCCCTGAGTTCATGGGAGACAGGTGATATAATATGAAGAGATGGTTTACTCTATTAGCATCCTTGGAAAACTGTGCTGATGGGATGTCAGTAGTCTTTTCTTGAACAAGACGGTCACATAGATGCTCATTCTGATAAATACGTGTGATTTTTTGGATATTGCGATAGTTTAATGCAATATAAAAAGGGAAAATTTGTATCTTATGTCTCAGGTGAGGTACTGTGTCCCAGTTTACTTAGTGAAGTGCGATGGTCAGTGGAGTGATCGCACAGCTGAGTTTTAGGAACATCAGTGCTCATACAGGGCTGGTGGCTGCTGTGCACTTGGGGTCCACAAAGGAAGGAAGAGTGACTGGGAAGACCTTGGCTCTAGGTCTGCTTCTTCCACTCCCACTGAGGGGAACTTGTCTTGTTTTTGTTTGTTTGTAGAAGAAGAACTGGTGTGCAGGCTAGAGGAGTGATGAGAAGACTCACCAGAGACAGTGGGGAGCGGAACAGGGGGATCTACTGAAATGCACTGCTACTGAGGGAGCAGCGGGGAGACAGGAGAGGTCTGCTGCGCCATGTGGGTCAGCTCCCGGGCCGGGGATCGAACTCAGGCTGCAGTGGTGATAGCACCAAGACTTAACGCCTAGGCCACCAGGGAGCCCCTGGAACTTGGAGGTTGTTTTGTCTGTATAGTAAAGATGCCTAGCTATACCTCCTAGGGCTGGTGTGGGGATTAGAATATGAATGTTTCAAAGCATTTTTATGAATTTCTGCTCCCAATATATGTGTTCATTTGTAAAAGGGCAGAAGCTCATTTATTAAAGCTAAGCAATGACATGGACTCTCCTTGCTGTTTTTTTTTTTTTCTTTTTTTACTTGAACAGTGTAAAGAACATGACTTGGCCATGATTAACCAGCTGCTGGATGACCCAAAGCTGACCGCTAGAAAATACCGGGAGTGGAAGGTCATGAACACCCTGCTGATCCAGGACATCTACCAGCAGCACCGGGTGCCCGAATCTGCCCTGGAAGGCACCCCCCAGTGACTTGACACCCCTCCTCTGCCTCTCTGGAAAACTCTGTTTCAGGAGGAGCCAGGACTCTGTCCCCTGATAGCTCACCCCAAGCAATTACTCAAACTGTTGCCAGAGCTTATATCTTTCCCTTAAAAAGGAAAGCTGAAAATCCACCCTCCTCAGGCATCAGCTCTCCTGTAAAGATGTGGTTTAGTGGAGCCCAGCACCCCCCGAAGCAGCTGGACCCCGTTGTGGCTGCACAGCTTCCACTGAGGAATCCAGTGGAAGAGTTTCTGTCACTGCTGGGAGCTCATGGTATTCTGGGGTTCAGCCGTGGTGTGAGCAATGAGTTCTCTGTTTTCTGTCTCAAGAGAATCGCAGCAATCTGGACAAAAGATCCCTTCTTACTCACGATAATTATTCATGGAGTGATTCTGTCTCCCCAAAGAAGGATGTACATATTCCACCTGGTTGGGGAAATGGCCCCTCGGAATCACGCCGAGTGGGGGGACAGTTTCCAAGTAGCCCCCAGAACAAGACCAGCATAGGGCGCAGCCCACATCCCCAGTCTGTGGTCCAGAACGTGGTGCCTTTTCCACGAGTCGAGAAACGTTGACGAGCCGCCTGTGGGGTTAGACACTTCTATACTCCCGGCGCCCACAGGACAGCTGGATGGTACATACTTTACCCAGGTGACGGCGCTGCATCTGGGTCCTGTTTCCTTTCCGCAGAACGGAAATCGAGAGCTCATGACCCTGGGAGAATCTCGACCCCCCACAGAGCAGTTCTTAACCGCCCGCCCCCCATGGAGAGTCCACCAGGAGAGTGGGGGGTATGCCTGTGTAGGGTTGGGGATCTCCTACAATTATCTCCAGTGTCCCCAGGAGTGACTTGGACAAGGTGATCCTGGCGCCCAAATTGTTTTAATATCTTTAATCAATCAAACAAACAAAAAACTTAACAATCCAACAAAAACAACAGAAGACTTAAACCTGATTGCTTTATTTTTGTATGTTTGAGTGTTACTTTGTGTGTTGTGTGAATAGCCACATATAATATGTTTGTTATTTAAGTATATTTATAGAAGTTCAAATTACTATGTTTTAAAAGATGATGTACATTTAGAATATGTTTTGCTCAGTCTATATTCTCCAAGTGTATACTTTTTGCCTGAGAAAAATAGCAGTGCTTTTGATTCCTTGGGTATCTTGTTGCACTATGATGTATGAGGAATGCTCAGGAAATCTTGTGGGGTCAGTGTGGGAGCATGCATAAATAATCCCTCCTTTCCTGTCCTGTCTCACTGCTTCCCTCCCTCCCTTTTCCCCTCATAGAGTTTAGATTTCTGTATAGATTCTAAGTCACTCTCTACACCAGAGACGTTATTTTGGTTGATCCTTTCTAATAGATATGCTTTCAGCTTTATGGCACTTAGACCCACAAACCCTAAACCAAATGAGAGACAATTAATGTAGGCATTTGTCTAAAGACTAACAGGAGACATAGAAATGTGGGGGTCTCTGGTGAAAGAGGACTCTATTAGGAAAACATGATCGAAAGTCGTCACTGACATCACAATGAATATTTCTCACTGTAAGAATAACCACAGCTCACCAACCCTGCCTCTGGCCTGACCCCTAGCACATTATCAGCATGACTTGGGTTACTTCAAGACTCAAAATGTGGCTTGACATTCAAATGGAAATAACCCTGAGTTTTATCTGCAAGCTGAATGGAAACAGTTGTTGTTGTTCGCTCAAGTTATACTAAGAAATTTCAGAACTTTGTCAGTAACAATCTTTGCTTTAAGAAACAACAACAGGATCCCAGTTGTTGTCCTAGGAGTTCCTGTGAGATAAGAGGTTGGTCAATTAGGCCCAACAGGCGTGGAACTGGGTCAGCTGAGGCATGCTGCCTCACAGGTGCCGGCTGGTCCGCTGGTCTCAGGAGAGAATCAGTGTTCAAGCTGGTTGGAGGGGCCAGAGTGTTGATTTCTATGCTAAGGACATTATTGATTCTGTGTGTAGTTAGCGAGTCAAACGTTGATTATGATTCACAAAGAAAACCAGGTTTTGAGGGAAGAGGAAACACCAGTGGAACAGTGTTCCTTCCTTTGGTTGCTTTCATTTGCAACACCAACCCATACATTTCAGAAAAGGTTTTCTTGAATGGAAGTGCACCAAAAGCTTTTTAACAGGCCTTGAAAATAGGCTCAAGGCTTTGTTTTGTTTGTCTTTGACCCACATCAACTGACCTGTTAGTGGGAAGCCCTCAGTACCCCTCCGGCAGACAGGCCGGTGGGCCCCTGTGATGACCTGACCTGGACTTTCAGTTATTTTAAGTTAAGCTGGATGTGGTTAAGGCAGTTACTTTGCAGAACTGCCCAAATGACGTCACGATGAGTGGCACACTTTTATCCCTTGCTCTTCTAGCCCTCTCCCTTAGCCTTCTCCCCTCTGTACACACCTTCACTCAGTGTTGTGTTTGTTAGGAAGTGTGTGTTGGGGACTGCTGAAAATACAGCCACCTAGAGGAGACGGGGTGTGTGTGTAAAGAGTGGGTGCACTTCCCACAACAAGAGGTAGCACTGGCCCCTCTTTGACTGAAGCCATTTTTTCTGTTCCAAAGGATATTGGATTATTTCCACTTTATTCTTGGGGAGTGCCTGCCCATGAAGTGGATTTTGGGTAGTTTCACCTGGCCCCAGGTGAGGCGCCTCTACTCCGCCCTGTAGCCAAAGGATCCAAGGGCTTTGGAATAACACAGACAATATTAGTTCAGGAAGGAAGAGGAAGATTTGAGTACAAGGAGCCCCAAATCTGTGGTACCACCTCTGGATTAGGATTCTGGTGGGACTCCTCTTTGGGGCTGCGAGGAGGGGGCTCCAGCCTGGAGCCCCGAATTGGTGCCTGATATGAGACCCTTACTGGTGAGAACCTTGTAGCACAGACTGAGCAGATAGTTCTGTGCTGCAGGACAGCTGTGGCTTTTAATAATTCTAGTTCTGCCACAAACTCAGCACATATGAGGAAAGAATCACCCAGCACACTGTCAAATACCCCAAGAACCCTAAGGAAGAGACTGTTTGGAATCAGAAACCCATGCCTTATATTTACAGAGCACTTTTTCATTTGTAGAGTGACATGTTGGGCTCCCTCAGCGCCTCAGTGGGCTTTGCAGGATGATTGTCGGTGAGCAGTGCCTCTTCAGACCTAGGGAGGACACAAGCTCCGAGAACTGAGGCGACCGAGGGGAGTTGCCTCAGTGCTGGGGTGGGACTTGGATTCGAACCTGGCTCCTCTGCTCCTCAGGACTCCCAGGCACTCCCTCACCTTGACCTTGCTGGGTCAGTGCAGTCACTGCTGGAAGTCAGCACTGTGATGGGCAGGATGCCCTCCCCTGGAGTGGAAGGGGCTTTGCTAAGGCATCATCAATTCCTGAGGGGGCTCTTTTCCTTGAACACAGTGACTTCAAGTCCCCAAAGGTCAGTATCCTTCCTGCTGCCGGGCTGTCTGCTCACAGTGACATGACCGTCTTCCTTCTCTCTGTGAATGATACTGCATTTAGACCCGTGAGCTTCTTGGTTGTGAGATACAGGAAGAGATGGAATGCCTTTGTTTTGTTTTCTGATTTTTTTTCCCTTTCAAGCATGGCAGGAGATGGTAGAGTCCAGCTTAGTGATA